CCCCCGGCTCAGCTCCTTTTGTGACCTTTCAACTGGGAGACCACCTGGTCAGGTGGGAAGACACCTGGTCCAGCACAGCTGGCGACACTAACCTAGAAACTACATGCAGCTTGGGATGGAGTCAGGCTGGTGTCCCCTGGGGGGAGAGCCCTGTGACCCCAAATACGACTCCGTCCTTGAGGGCTCCTGATTTGTAAGCTGAGAGCTGTGCTCCCAAATGCTCCCTAGTTACACAGAAAAGGGCTGTGGCCTCTGCAAAATAAAACCCAGATGGGATTTTGCAGAGAGCTGGGGCACATGGCCTCCTTGGACCTGCGTCAATACACTTGCAGTCCTGGCTCCGTTCTGCCTATTCACACTGGACAGGACTTGCAGCCCAGAAAAAGAGCCTTTAGTTGAGCAATTGAAGTTAAGCCCCTTGGCTCCTTGGCTGAAAGGCATGATAGAAGGGTGTGCTGTCACTGTCCCTGGGCAACAGATGGCCAGTCCGCGCTGCCACGCTCCAAAGGCAGCCTCGAGACGCCATGGTGTTTCAGGACCACCCGGGGACGCCGGCCTGCCCGGCTGTGTGGGAAGAGATGGTGAGTGGGAGCCCGTGGAGGCAGCCAGTTGGCTCCATAGTGATGGTCTGACCCATGGTGTCCTTCCTGGGAGCCAGGGCCCCTAAGTGCTTTCCTCTCCTCCCCCAAATTCAAAGCAGGATACACGCAGGCAGGAGGCGGCTGTGGTTTGCAGCTATGTACAACTGGAATCTCTTGATACTTGCTGAAGACATTTACGTGCCTTTGAAGAAATGTTTTTCAGTTTTGAGTCTTTACTGAAAATTAGCCAGGGGTGGGGGAAGGACTTGATGAGGGAAGAGAGGTCGTGAAGAAAGTGTTGTCTCCTGTTTTCCCAGGCCGTATCGCTGGGGGGTAACTGGAATTTGACCTTGCACTTTTGCAGGATGACCCCAAGCACGGACAAGCATTTCTGGAAACTTCTGAAGGTGCCTCTCATGTGCTCATAAATAAATCTGGTCATACACATGGGATGCCTGCTATTAATTTCCCTTTTCCTGCCCCTACCGCCCCTGCTTCTGGTTCTGCTAAGTCATGTGACAGTGTCCCACCACGGCCCCCCAGCAGGCTGCCCTTGCGGAGACCACCATCAGCCATACCGCTGCCCCTTACCAGGCGCTACCCGGAGCCCTGAGGGCCGCTGCTGCCAACACGGGCGGTGGGGGGAGGCTATATTTGTAGTGCGGTCCTGGAGCAGTGTGGCTTCCTTTATGCCTGCTTCCTGCCCTAGGACTCAAACTTGAACCCTGAAGGGCTAGGCCAAGAGGCAAATAGTAAAACAAACAAACAAAACCAAAACCCCCCTTTGAATTCCAAATCTCTCTCCCTGTCCTTCTGGCCCCTTCTCTTAGACGCTCCGGGGTCCTGCACGGAAAGAGGTTGTCTGGACCTGGGGATGATGAAGATACTCAACTCTAGCCTCAGCTGGGGACCTCTGCTTCACCAGACAACCATCAAATATCACCCAAATCCCATCTCCACGTCCTGTTTTTGAAGACTGAAAATTGGACTCTGATATCCCAGGGAGATCAGCTACCTTCCTTTACATCAAGGCTGTCTGTCTGCCTGGCAGGCTTTTCAGGCCAGAGCCGCCAGGTAAAGGATCAGAGA